ATTTATTTTACATGTCATTGTGTAAAAATACAAATTATTGCCGTCTGTGTTGTACTTCCAAATTCTTCCTTGTGTTGGCAGAGATACATCAAACAACAAATAACACAGTTTAACACATTTGAAATATACATTTTTAAATTTTCAACCTGTGATCCTTACTCACTTACAATTGACATGTTAGTGAGAGATTCTGTGGCCAATCTGTGTCTGATCATGAGGTCGCATGAGTCTGAAGGGCGTCATAGCTCGCTCCCTTCCTTGCCAGCTACCTACCTGTTTTAGCTCTCACCTCATACCAAGCCACCATCTGCCTCTGCTCTGCCCTCAGAACCAGTTTTTCATCAGCTGTGCGGACGGGAAGACCATCCATAACGGGATCGGCGATGCAATCGTGAATCGGATTCTGCGTGCGCACAGGTCTGTGTGGAGCGTACTGGCCAGATTCATGTGGCAATGGATTCCATTTTTTTTTTATCAACACATTCTTGAATGTTTAAAGTTACAAAGCAGCTTTTCATGAAATCTGTGCTCAAGGTGGATTAAGACATGTTAAACCAAGTACAGAAATCTGTCAGCATTTCAACTGACTGAAAAAGTTAAATGAATAAATAAGATAGAAATGGGAGTGAAACAAACATTATGTATTAATGGTAAATTACATACATTTATTGTGTGTTACGACAGAGAACAGAAGAAGTACAGAGTGTTCGTCGTGATTCCTCTGTTTCCTGGATTTGAGGGAGACGTAAACGTGGGTGGTGGAAATGCCATCCAAGCCATTCTGCACTTCACTTACAGGTGAGAGCCTTTTCCTCCAATTATCATTGTACATTCAGCCCACAAACCAGAACAAGCACAGTTACCTCCAGCAACCACCGGAAAAACACAACCTCCGAGCTTTCACTGGAGTGAGAGACATCTCCTGTCATGAAGAGTGGTAGTGAAATGACAGGTCCTTTTCATGAGTGTATCTCAAAAACAGCTATAGCAACAGAGTAGTTTCTGCAGGAGTGTTATATAAGATTGCATTAGTTTTAGCTATAGCTGTACCTAATAAACTGGCAACTGTCAGAGTGTTTACCCAAACTGAAAATGTGAAATTAGAAAATGTCCCATGATATAGCTCGTTACATTTTGGTGCAGATCCGGATCAGGGGCTGAATCAGGACTTTTCATGGATCTGGATAAAAAAATCCGACATGTGTTAGGGACTGTGTGAATGAATGTGTGAAATGTGGATATAGTGAATTTAAATGTGGTTTCATAAGGGGATTTCTCTACTCTACTGAGAGTATTATTATTAGAATCTAACTTTTTGCATTCATCCATCAGATTTCCAAGTCTTTTGTGAATTGTTATGATGTATGTTGTATTATTGGCCTATGCTGTGTAATTATTTTAATGCTGTTTTAATGTCCTAGGACCTTATGTCGAGGGGAACACTCCATCCTGTCGAGGCTCAGTGAAAGTGAGTTTTCTGTTGTGTCTCTGATTTCAATTCAAAAATCCAGCTACGTTCACAAATGTTTCCTACTTCCTTTTTAACACGGGTCTCTTTCTGTCTCCTCGTGTTGCTTCTTTAAACTGAAGCTTCTGGTTCTAGGTATCTGCCCATCAGTCTTTACTTCCATCCTTTACTTCTTTACACATCCACTTTTAACAGTCAACGTTCCTGTATGAGATTGTCTTATGGTAAATCTTCACTGTATCTTTTAAAACTTTCTTCTGGTCAATAACGTCAGTGTGGTTTGCTCCCCCAGTTGAAGACAAGTGGACGGAGTACATCACAGTCTGTGGCCTGAGAACACATTCCCAGCTCTGCCAGTCACTCGTCACAGAGCTCATCTACGTTCACAGCAAGACCCTCATCGCTGACGACCGCTGCTATATCATCGGTGAGTCACCCCCGGCATAGACTTATTTAAAGGCACATTATCATTACCTTGAGTCATTATTAAGATGTATGGTAATGTTTTCATGGCTCTCAGTGCAGCTGTGAAGCTTTAGTGTGAGTGAGTTAATGTAGCTTTATTTTCATAAACCTTTTTGATACTGGTAAATTTAACTTTGTAAGTATAATAATATGCAATCAAACATATATATGGGCATGTATTTATGAGAATAAATAGTTAGGAGAAATAAAAGTTTTAATGTTTTAATCCCTTAGATTGTTATTTATTGTGGTCGTCATTTCTTCAGCAATAATTATTTATGTACATTCTCCAATTAAGCAGTGTCATTTTCTAATTTAAAATTGCGGTGCATGCGTGTAATCCAGTGTTACTGTTTGTAACCATATATCACTGATGCAGTTCACTCTCATCACCGCGTTTCATATTATCTAGATTATAAGCCTGTAACATTTAATTTCACATCCATTTCTGAACAATACACATACACAATACAAAGAGCTGAACTAGTGAAATCCTGAAAACCAATACTCGTTCTGAAGAATCCTTTTTTTCTGTTGTGATAGTGATTTAATTAAATAAGTTTAATGCTGCTTTGACAAGAGCAATGCCTCAGAAAGGACAGATTGTGAATGCTTGCACACCTTGTGTTCCAGGATCGGCCAACATCAACGACCGCAGCATGCTGGGCAGTCGAGACAGTGAGTTGGCAGTGTTTGTGGAGGATGAAGAGAGAGTCCCATCCATCATGGGAGGGGAGGAGTATCAGGCAGGACCCCTCACACTGGCTCTGCGTAAAGAGTGTTTCAGGTCAGGACGAAATATGCAACTTCATGTGTTATAAGTCTGCCAAGGAGGTTGTGTTATTTATTTCATGTTAGCAGGACTGTGCAAAAGCTGCAGGAGGGATTTCCATGAAATTTGGTGGGGAAAAAAAGTGTGGTTTGGTTCAGGGAAGAACCCATTGCATTTTGGTGTGGATCCATTTTGTTGTACGAAAGTGTACATTGTGATATTGGGCATTTTTCAATATTTGAATTGATTTTTCAGAGAATAATCAATGGATCTTTATGAGTGTGTGTGCAGATCCAAATAAAAACCTGGATAAAGTGAATATAAATGTGTTTTCATAAGGAGACTGTTAGGCCTTGGCAGAGGTATGCACTCCATTCTAGCACTTTATGTATGCTCATTAATGGCTACTACCTCTGGACATAATCAAGCTTTAAAGGGAGTATATTACCTACCTGTATGTCATGAACAGCACAGAGCCTTGCCTTGTTTTTGCACTGGGAAGTAACAGCTACAAAATGTTTATTTTCTGGTTTACCAGCAAATCATCATATGAAAATTTTGGGCAAAACTAGTAATAACTCCTTATGAAAAAATTACAAAGGTAAAATTTTTGCAAAATAACTTTTGTCTGCTTTTACTTCTCCTGCCCAGTGTTCTTGTTGGAGCTTCTGCAGACCCCAGTATCAACATAAATGATCCGATCAGTGATGAGTTCTTCTTCTTGGTATGGAATGCATCTTCTAAGCTAAATGCCACCATTTACGACAAGGTAATCATTAAACCAAAGATTATCCAGAATCATGACCTTGAAACCATTTCTTCCAGACATTGTAATTTCACTTTTTTCTTTCCTCTCCTTTGTCCTGACGTGACACAGGTCTTCAAATGCCTGCCCCACAACACTGTCCACAGCATGCGAGAGCTGAAGGAGTACTCCTGCACAGCACCCCTCTGTGACACAGACCCCGAGCAGGCCGCGGAGGAGCTGAAGGCTGTGCGAGGGCTGCTGGTCCACTTCCCGTTGAGGTACCTGTGTGAGGAGAACCTGCTGCCTCCGCTGGGCACTAAGGAGGGCATGGCTCCTGTGGGGCTGTGGACATAACCATGACTCAGCTCTGGTCAGATCACTACACTAACAGTTACAGGGCGGGCTGTAACATACATTCCTCCTTGTAGTCTCAGCTCACCTCTCAGTCAGTCCACCAATGCAGTTACAGCACCTGCACTTCACAAGACAACTTAAGACAATGTATTTGTTTATCACAGATGTTTTTGACTGATGATGAGCGAATTTGAGCATAACCACTAAAATGTATTGCATAATGATGATTGATAGACTGTTAGAATAGTAAATTAACCTTTGCTGGTCAGCTTTTTCACAATTTCTGTGTCTGCCTATTAACTAAACACAGTGCAATGTGAACTGCAGAGCTGGCAATGATGCAAAACACACATAAATGAATGTGTGAGTCAGATGGGGATTGCAAGGTTGTACTGGAAATCCAGCATCTCACATGATCTGGGAACATAGTGTACATTTATTGGTGCAAGGTTTTTGGGTGGGTGGGTGGCTCTCGCTCTCTCTCGCTTTCTCTCTCGCTTTCTCTCTCACTCACTCTCTCCCTCTGAGACTTCACCTCTCTCTCTCTCTCTGCAGTGCCAGCAAATCTGTCAGAACATTTGTGGTTGTTATGGTGACGGATATAAAGAGATGACTGGATTGGAGCTGAAATAAAGACTGGATAGGGCAGAGAAGGGAGAGCACTGATAAAAGTGATAACTGGCTAAATCCGGATGATGTACCGGAAAATAGAAAGTAATCTGTTGAATGAAAGCTGACGATCTGTGTAGAGGCAACGTCGTTTTGATATATATTCTATCTGGAGGTGGTACACTCAGGTGGAGAAACGAGGGAAAGAAAAAGGAGCACAAGATAATTAAAGAGTGATGGATTGATTGTCGTGTTTTTCAAGTGAATTTACATTTCACTATGATTTCAGCAGTCCAAAACAATTTCCTACATTTCCTACATTCCTACACAAAAAGCCGAGACAGATATAGTTGACCTCTGCATTTTTCAGCTATTTCCATGTGAGCACCACAATGTTGTGTGCAGCTGCCATACACTACCTTGCATGTCTGTCCTATATTCTATTGCTATGATTACATATTTGTTTAGGTGCATTCTATTTAGCCATAACACTGTAACCGAGTAGCAACATGATGTGGCATTCATTGATGGTGCAATAGCTTTGGTTAAACCAGCAGTCATATTTTAAAATGAAAGGAATTTGAGGTTTTCTTCTTTAGAGTATCATGTCTATTCTATTAAAACTGTTAACTTCTTCTACTGAGCCACAAAGTACTGAGTGAATATGGAGAAGTCTTGCACTGGACACACAGGTAGCATTGGCAGTAAATCTAGACAGGCATTTATGCCTCCTTTTGAAATGTTGTATTGACTGATTTGGAAATATTATGAAATAAATTATGATAACATCCAAAAGAGGATGCCTCGGTCATGCAGAAAAACAGGATTTACAAAGTGAGTTTTGTCATAGCTTCTGTAAAGTTTTTGGAGTTTTTAGAAAAAGCAGCAGAGAGGCGGAAAATAGGCAACATGTAAATAATAAGACTTTTTGAGGAGATGCCATCCCATGCAAGGTGGATGGATTGATGTACATGACATCATCACAATCAGAGGGATAGTCGAATGAAGTGTGACCCTGTTGGACCAACGCCTGAGATGGTGAAATAGTACAGAATGTTTTATAAACATTTGAGACATGCCCATGAGTTTCTGCCAAATTACCACAGTGACCTGTCTGTGAATGAATACACAAACGTCTCCTCACTCTACATGAAGCACCTTTCACAGAATAGCCTTTAAAACCAGTACTGATTAGTTATGGTGCATTATTTGTTTCACAACTATTCAACCTCCTTTGGAAGATATTGAGTCTTTGAGCTCCTAAACTCACTATTTTCTATTTTCTGATAAAGCACAAAACCATTGCTTTTAATTGTTTCCTTAGGTGAAAGATTCTGCAGAAATGCCTGCGATAAACTGAGAAGTGACCTTATACTGTTTCTATCATGAATTTTGTGTGACACCTAGTCAGCATTACCAATATGTTACTAATAAATACTTATATTTCAATTATAGCTTTTATCCCTAACAATCACCATGTGATTCAAATCATATAAGGAGTAATTGTGTATGCATTTCTGTAGATCTAGGTTATTATTACCTTGGAGTTACTGATGTATAGGTTAGCTGTCAGAGTCGAGAATTCATAAATATTCTTATGCAGCCGCGACCAACTTGTAGTTTTAATGAATGTTACTTTTCCTGTTTTCTCAATAAACTTTTTTTATTGAATTTCAAAGTGAATGTCTGCTTTAACTTTCATTTTAACATGTTTATCAACATTGTTTGGTTATTTAAATCCAAATGACAACCTTACTTTTTTGTGCTTTATGCAATAACACATGGTATATGTTACATAGATATTGAAAGAGACTGTAATGTTTGAATTTGAAAATGAGGATGTATGTTTTTGTGATGGCATTAATTCTTCTAACTTTGCATAGGAAATCATAATGGCATTTCTAAGACCTAAACAGTAGATCCATGTCTAGATGTGTGTTTAATCAAACTGCCTTCAACTGCAAAAACACAACTGTAAACCACATGTATCACTGTCAATATATATTCCACAAACATTATTTGTCGTCTGTATATTATTGGAAAAAATAAAGTATTTTAGGAGTGTATTCGAGACTGGATGGATACAGACTGAAGATGTTTTTATCCAGGAAATGGGTACAAGGAAATAAAATTAGCTTTATTTGTGAATGCTGAAATGTTCAATAAACGACCCATGCGATCGTGGCATAATCAGCTGCTGGAGATAAATTATATCTGACTTAATGGAGAAATAATGATGTCATCAATAAAGCTGTTGGGATTACAGACCAAATCAGTGCAAACACGCACACGCACGCACACACACACATACACACACACACACACACATACACACACACACACACACNACACACACACACACACACACACACACACACACACACAGAGAGAGAGAAACAGTTGTGCATGTTGAGGTCCAGTGTCATTTCCAGGTAATTTGTCCCTGGTGAAGCACCGTAGTCGTCCAAGAGCAGAAAACACTTGAGGAGTGTTGTGTGCAGCCAATCGTCAGTTCGAGCCCGCAAGACTCCACCAAGGCTGGAAGTGGGAGGGAGGACTTTGGGAAGCAAAACATGGCGAAATAACAAGTTCGGCTGTTAGCTGCAGTTTTAAAAAACTGCACCGTCTCCCGCAGGGTTGGACCAGAAACACGGTTTTATTTCAGATTGTGGACGCCGGTGAAGGAAAGCGACGCGTAACTTGAGGGAGTGGAGGGCCCCGGCTGACGAGTGCGTTACGGTGGCTGGTGAGAACACTGCCCGCCCGCCTGCGTGTTTTTCCCCCCGGAAGGTTGGCAGTGCTGGGCGCGACTGACTGACAGCGAGAGAAAATGGATGAAGGAGGAAAGTTTACCGAGACTGTTTAGTGTGGTTAGCTTAGCCCCGTTCGCTAGCCGCCTAGCGTTAGATCGATCGTGCGCACCTGACTCGGTGGTTGCCCTGCGCTCCGGCTGAAATTTGAGGAATATTTAAGTCGTGGTAACAAGTTTGACAACTGCAGCCGCAAAGGATCGTGTTTATAACGAGGCCGAAATAATAATATTTCGGGACCTGTGCCATATTACTACAGTGGGAGGACATTTTTCCGGGCTGATAATGAGAGCCTGACAGTTCTGGTGCGGACGGACCCGGACGCCATCACATCAGACGTTGCGTTCTCCTTAAAAACAACCACTGCGTTGCCTCGTCGTCAATCTGTAAAAATCAAGCAGCCTGACCAGGGACGTCTGAGCGGTGCACCAGCCTTTTCTCATAGAGTTTCTTATCTTATTTCCCGCGTCATTCATATTTTTTCCTTCGCTGTGATGTTGTGCAGCAGCGGAGACGCGGCGCCTCGTCAAAATGAACGCAGCAAGGTGTTCAACAACAGTGGAGGTGCATTGCATTGAAAAGCAGCGGTACCGATGCTAGCGGTGACGTTTACAGTCTGTGGAAATCTCTCGTGGAAGTTGAACGTGTTTTGAGCCGACATCACCGCCGGGGTTTTCTCCTCAGCGACTGCGGAGGACATCACAGCTCTGCAGCCGGAGTTTGACGTTAGCTAGCCCGCTGGGTGCGTCTGTGGCGGCTCCTATCTGCGATGTGTTTGCTTATCTGAGAGCCACCGTGTTGTTCCGCACATCATCGGCTTTATATATATTATTTTCTCTCGAAGGATAAGCCCTGTCACGCTTATCCAAACACCCAGTTCAGATCTTCTTCCACACTTCTTGTCAAATTAGTGGCTAACTTGTTAGCTAACGTTACAAGTTTCCAGCTATGTCTGAAAACGCCCCCACACGAAGCCTGGACGACATCGACCTCGCAGCCCTGAGGGTGAGTATTGTTATTGCGAGACAAGTGTGCTGCATACATGTGTTTGTGTATTATAGCAGATCGACCCCATTACATGTGAAGTCATGTGAACTCAAATGTCAGTTTGTGTCTGACACCAGCAAAACAATGCAACACCCAGGCAATAAAGTGAATGTAGGATCATTTTATGACATTATGTTTGCACGCTCTGATTTCCACTGGTTTTACCATCACAGATTTAAAAAAGATATTTCAGGTTTGCTTCATCAAATAAAGATTGAAATTCTCCAACACTAACACGTTTTTTTAATAAAAAACAAAACAAAACATGGCTGCTTCTTATCACACAACACTGGATATATTTTTGGCATTGTTATGTATGCAGTTATTTCTTTATTGCACACGATAGCTATGACGAATAGTCCTTTATAGAAGGTGAGACAGTTTTATATTATGAACTATCAGTTATAACCTCTACAACCACAGTGTCTTGAGTTCAGATCTTTATTTAGAGAGTGTTTGTTTCACATGTTGGCCTGACAGTCAGTGGTGACCTGCTGAAATCATCTAACCCTGCCCTTGGGAGTTTGGATCTGGTATTTTTAGTTTACTTTATTTTGCTCTAAGAGCATTGACATCATTCTAAAATACTGCATATTTATAAAATACAACATGTCAGACATTGTGGGGGAATAGAGCAATACTTACTTTCCAGGGGTTTCACAGTGGTTCATCCTGGAGGCATGGGGCTTTAAAAATATACCTGGCGTTTCGACCCCCTCTCCTCTAGAACCACTGCCCACGACCATTCCACTATTCCCAGTTGTTGAAATACCACAACCTCTTATTCAAATGTTCAGTATCTGAAGAAAGACCACAGTTTTGAGTTGTTACTCCATCACAGAGGAATGGATCAGAAATATATACATTTTTGCAGTAATGAAATATATATGTATTTGCATTGACTTTCTGTGCAGTTCATATTGTTCTTTGAAATGATAGATTAGAGCACCATCTCCTAAGTAAAGTGAAAACTTTAAACGATCATATGTTTTGCTCTATTAGTAGGTGTCCTGTTTTATCTTTGTCTACAGAAGATGTTCATTATCATCATTAACACCATCTAATATAAGAACTGAGGAAGTGAGGTCTTGGAACCAGTGATGTTGCATCACCATATCTGTATTGTGTTGAAGAAATTTAGAAAAGTAAAAAGGAGGAACAGTGCTGTTGATTAAAATGAAAAACAGAAGGTATTCCAGAAAATTACACCTGCACCCTCTGAACATACCAGGAAATTCTCCAGCACTTTGGTGTAGCTTTCACAGGTTTATGGGGCTTAACAGGGGATCAAGGGTAGTTTATCTAAATCCTGGTTTGTTTGTTCCAGTGTTGCCTCTTTCTCCGATTTAATGAGGCCGCACCTGAGAATCTGTTTTCAAAATCGTTGCACATTGTTGACTGAGCTCGTTCTTTATAATAAATGTTTATAAAAATGACAGAATGAGAGGCATGCCCACACTATCTCACTTTAAATGGAAGTACATTCACTTGAATTACACAGTGTTTTGTTGTGAGTATTTTGTCCGTTGTTACGAAAATCTTTTCTAAAAGATTGCACTGCAATATGTGGTCTGGTATTGCACAATTATTATAGAAGTATTACAGCAGTATCATACATACATTATGCAATAGTAGGTTATTGTACAAATAGGACCTATATTTTGTTAGTACTTCTATATGCTTCACCCACTATCAATTTGCTAACCATATGCCCATGTCTCATGCCCAGTTAGGTGAGAGCATCCTTGTCTCTGCACAAGATCCACTAAAGCGGGACATACTAATAGAAAAACAGCTCAATAGTGCTACGGGAGGATCAAAACTCCACAGGTTAAATGGCTCAGTAAAATAATTTTTCAAAGAAATCTGCTACAGAGTACTGAGTGACTTCAGTGTTACATAACAACAGTACCCTGTACACAGGACACTTGTCATTTGTGCTGAAACATCTAATTCCAATGCCAACACCACTCAATGAGACAACAGCCCCCTGTGTGACTGTGTTGACTAAAAGTTAGTCAGTGGCAGAAAACAAAAAGTTGTGAGTCTGAATATCGTTAGCCGATAAGCAAGAAATAGCAACCCTCTGGAAATGAAACTCATGAGTATTTTAGTCTTGTGATTTTATGTGGTCGCAGTAAAACAGTGCATGTTATGTTTGGTTTAATGTGAAGTAAGTGTTTGGAAAATAAATCCTCTAATATTAAAAAAAAAAGCTCAGACTAAGATTGGATTGTCCCCTTTAAAAACACCAGTACAAGTTTCTTTATATTAAATGGTTGAAGATTATCAACTTCTTTGGCAACTGATCATAATCTCATACTCTGATATAGGTTATTTCAGATTCAGATAACGATACTTATCATTACCGGTCACTTGTTACTCATACCTTTTACTTGACTTTGTAAACCTGAGACATTTCTATGTAAATGTTAAGCCATTCTCTCTTATCCATCTTTGATTCTTTGCCATATTTTGAGCTGTGGGTTAAAGCCTCCTGCAACTGAGTCTGGTGTTTGTTTTGACTTGCTTTGGCAGAACAAGAGGTTAGTTGTGCTTTCTCGTCCATGTAAGATTTTTGACACCCAAACCACATCCATGTAAGAGAAATAGTCTCTCTTCTTATGTAGCTGTTTGTTAAGTCCTGGTTGGTTTTAAGACCTTTTGTTCAGAATAACCCCATCGTGTGTCACATTTACTGGCCTCCGTGTTTGTTTGCGTTGTCTTCTTCTCGATGATACCATTTCTTGATGCATGTGACATTAAGCTCATAAAAGATGCAAAATCTAAACTATGGCAGTATTTATTAATAAAAATATAGTTTAGTTTGTTTGAAAAAAAGGCATTCCTTCCATCAAGCTTATTGTAGGTCATAGCTCTGCATTGTACTGCAGTATACAGTATACTGGAAGTATTCAGAAACCCATTTAAAAACACCTAAGGGCTGCTAGGGCTTTGTTCACTAATGATTTTTGGAGAACAGTTTTTAGTCAATTTCAGGCATTACAACAAAGATAACAAGTCTGGGTCGTGATTTGGACAGTTGCAGCTGTATAACCAGAGATAGGGTAGGTCTTTTTAAAAAAAGACTTCCTCTGTTATTGAAGTGGACACCCCTGCAGGAAATGTGTGGTCAACTTCCTCATGGACCATAAACAGTGTCTTCTGGACTTCATACACTGATGATATTAGGTTGTTCTTTGCTGGTTGCAACTCGACATTAAGATACATTTATTGCGTTGTTCCCTGAGGAGGTTTAACATGGTGTGATATCATTAACATGATATCCACAAGAAGCTTCAGAGTAGCAGTGTTTATGATTCCTCCTGTTGTTTTATTGCTTCCTTGTCTTTTCTACAATTATTCTAACAAACTGTTTGACTGTGTGTGCTGGTGGTGCTACTCCTCCAACATAACTGTACCCTTCCCCTTCTATCACTTCATTCCTCTCATCCCACTCTCTGTGCTAGACGTGGTTGAAGCTACCGCCTCTGCCTTTCCGCCCACTCTATCATGGCATTATTCTCTTCCATACCATACCATCATTCTCCTGCCTCCTACGTCATGGTTCCACCTCTTTTTTGTTCTTGCACATAACATGCTTCAAAATCTGACTAGTATGTTTATGTCATCATGAGAGTTATGTGCATTTACATACATTCTGTGGGGTCATTTCCCAATTTTACTGCCAGATCTCCCAAGTATGTATGTTATTTTTCTCCTAAACCTTCCCTCTCACAGTGGAATGTTTCCCCTCCACATTGAAGGCAGCAAACCCATCATTGGAAACAGATGAAAGCAGGATAGGTCATGCTGTACATTCTAAACCCAAAGCAGCAGTCCCACCACCCACACATCTTACAGCCATATTGAAATTGCATGAAAGTGGGTCTGCATTTCCCCTTGTCTCTTGGGGGAGGGGGGTTGCGTAATTAAGTAAAAGCAACCTGCTCATTATTGGTGTCAGAGAAATGTGTATTGAAACTTCTATTCAAGAGGCCAGAAGTCACGTACATGTTGTTAGGATCCATCTTTGTATCTATAATGTAATATCAATATTTAGTATATCTGCTTTCTATGTTAAGTTGTTGGTGGGTGGCAAGTGTGTGGGCGGCTGGCTGGGAAGATTTAGCTCAGATGAAATACGGAATTGTAATACAGGATTTAAATTGGCTTTAGTATAAACAGAGAGAACTGTCTGGGTTGAGTTAACTGTTTTTATATATTTTGTTTCACGGACCATATGGGCTTTTTTTGTGTGTATGATTTTTTTAAGCAACGCTCATTTAAATAGAGATACAATGCTTGAATTACATAGGAAAACATTTATAATGAAACTGTCATTTTCCTTGTTTATAAGGATGTTGTCAACTAAATCAGAGATTTAGTCAAGGTTTCTGTTTCGAAGAGAAATTAAAATGACAGAAAAAAGAATTTCCTGGTTTTATGTTTTTGTATATGTTTTAATCCAGTCATTGTGCCAACATAACTGTAAGAATATATTTGTCCGGCCCTCAGGATCCAGCAGGAATCTTTGAGCTGGTCGAGGTTGTCGGCAATGGGACTTACGGGCAGGTGTACAAGGTGAGTCATGTTGTGCCTTCGTGTGGTGGCAGAATAATCAGAACATTTCTTCCAGTATGCTTTTTCAAGTTGGAACATGAGTTGCTGACCTTGTCACTGGAAGTAGCTCTCATGTGAAATATTATATATATTGTTGAATGCAAACTGCAAGTCCATCAAGCCAATATAGATATTTCTATGCATACATTTGAAATAGTTTTGACTCACACCCAATCCTTATACTTTACTTTTCGTAATAATGCAAATATTTGAAATAGCTGTACTTTAAATAATCGAAAAACATAAATACAACACATGATGTTACAGCATCCAGGTTTTTTTCCATATTCGAACTTAAAAGCATTTGAACACATAGAAGTTAGTGACGACTTCACACCTCTGGAAATTGAACACTCTAAGGAGCAGGTGAATGCACAGATGATTCTCTATATCACATCTGACTAATGTGTTGGAGTTTGAAGCCTTTAAGACTTTAGTTGTCACTTGTGTGATGAATGTAAAATTGAGTGTGGTTACAAAGACCACTCCAGTGCCTGCTCTGTTTAAATGTTAAGTTTGCTGTTTTATTCACAGATTTAGATTTAGTTTACAACCATGCGAGTGATATTTTCTTCAGTCAGTCTGAAAAGTTTAGAGTTGTATACAAAGGATTAGAAACAACAGTAAAGAAAAATGGAAAATAAGATCAGCAAATTACATGATGGAGCAAATTAGCCACAGTTAAGTGGCAAACATGTTTCAGAAACAGGAGTCCAAGGTTCATTTGAAACTAGGTAACAATGATCAAACTTTTTCTTGAATCAGGGCCGTCATGTGAAGACTGGTCAGCTGGCTGCCATTAAGGTGATGGATGTTACGGAGGAGGAAGAAGAGGAAATCAAAGCAGAAATCAACATGCTGAAGAAATACAGCCACCACCGCAACATAGCCACGTACTACGGTGCCTTTGTGAAGAAGAGTCCACCAGGACACGATGACCAACTATGGGTCTGTTTGTCTTTGTTGCATTACCTCATGTTTATGCAGCAGTATGCCTCATGGATTGTCCTCACTAAGGTTAGTAATTGTCTGCATGTAGCTGGTGATGGAGTTCTGTGGGGCGGGATCGGTAACCGACCTGGTTAAAAACACAAAAGGTAGCTCTCTGAAGGAGGACTGGATTGCTTACATCTGCAGAGAGATCCTAAGGGTGAGAAATTGCAATTGCAGCAGTCAATATAAATCTGTTGCAGAGGTCCCTCTGTACTGACCTGATTTGACTTTGTTTTCTGGGTTCAGGGCCTTTCTCACCTCCACGCCCATAAAGTCATCCACAGAGACATCAAGGGCCAGAATGTGCTGCTGACTGAGAACGCAGAGGTTAAACTTGGTATGTTGAACACTTAAAGGTTTTAGGCCATTTCATCGGTACAGTATATATATTCTATACCTCATTTACTGTTTATATGCAAACAATATGCTTATATTAATCCAATAAAGCCAATAGTTTGAACAACACACTGCTATGTAAATACAATTTCTGATGACCAAATCCAAACAATGGAATAATCAAATTAGGACGTTAAATATTTGCATTATTATATCCTATTGACATACGACACTCTTGCCCTGGGTATAAACCAGATAGAAAAATGAAAAGGAGTTGTAGCTTTTGCAAAATTAGAGAGAAAACAACCAAAATAGTACATGTTAGCATTGTACATTAAACTATTTCGTGCCAGCGTTTTAAACTGGAGGGATAACATTGTAAATAAAGGCTTTGTGAACATATCGACGTTAGTCATAATCAAACTATGCTCTGTAACATATATATATATATGAATATTCTATTAGCAACTCATGTAAATGTCATGATAAAAATAATGTATTTTTCTGAATTAGGTCAATAGTTGGAATATAAATGTCGATGTAAGCGTTGTCTCACATATTCTGATTCCTTTGTCCCTGTGCAGTTGATTTTGGGGTGAGTGCTCAGTTGGACAGGACCGTTGGGCGTAGGAACACCTTCATTGGGACACCTTACTGGATGGCACCAGAGGTCATTGCCTGTGATGAGAATCCTGACTCCACCTATGATTACAGGGTAAAGGCAGCATTTTTTTGTATGTGTCTGCGAGCACAATGCTGTGAGAGCGTATGAAAGATAGAGACTGACCTGGTCCTGTGTGTATTTTGCAGAGTGATATCTGGTCCTTGGGGATCACAGCTATTGAGATGGCAGAGGGAGCTCCTCGTAAGTCTATACACTTAATTACACACCCATTTTACTTTTTCTTAGTTGAATCGTGCATCTCAATGCACTCCGATTATCCTTCGTCATCTCAAAGCCTGTTATAAAAGACCTCATGAATTAGTCTGTCTTGCATATGTAGCCTTGTTGTCTGGGTCTTCAGATGGGCAGCTGAGTCACTGTAATCAAGGTAGCGTAGTCGTGAGCTGGCAGTTGGCCTATGGAGGCTGATTACACAGATCTCTCTCTGGTCTGCTCAGTGGGTAAATGTGTCTGCCTGGAGATTTGGTGTCAAACCTGACTGAGAAGCAAATAAAGTTCTTGCTTAAGAGTAGCAGATAAGATGTAAAATAAATCAAGACATTACATTTTAAACAGTGACACAACATTAGTAGCTTGCTGCTCCTGGTGCACTGTTTTCTTTGCCCTGTTGGTGGTTGTTATAATGCAGCCATCATAACCCTGCCTACAGCAAGAATCAGATTACACTCTTACTTATTTGGTACTGCATTGGCCATTAAAACAGCACTGTTTTATGAGCTCTGCATTGTTGCAAAATGTGACTTCACTCTACCTGAATTTTAAAGCCACCAGCAGCTAAGTGTTCATTTGTGGACAGACTGAGGTTTAGTAGATAAAATAATATTTAAAATGATAAAATATGTTTTTGTTACTTCACTTAAAGGTTTGACTCTTATCAAACCCAATTCTATGGAGTTTGACAGTTTTAACACTCTTCTGCCCACCTTAAATCTCAATTTCAAAAAATGTAGCTTCAGTCTTGATTTTGAGTCATCACAACTAAACTTGAAACTAATGTTATTGCAGTATGGCGTTTACGTGGTGTGGACTTGAATCCTCCTGCACACATGTGTAAATGCACCCAAGACACATTGACTACAGCCAAACCACCTCGGAAGTTTATCAGAGACACATTGTGACCACATTGAGCACAAGGGTCAATTCAATTGTGATTCATACATGACTACCTGGGCAGGTATAAGTAGTGCATGACTGTTCCAAACCAGCGAGGTAGCAGCTCTGCAGCTAGCAGCTGTTAGCCACTTAACACTTGAAACAGTCTTTATGTTATTTCAATACATTAATACAGATACACTTTCAATGCAGTCATGTATTCTTAATAAATGTGTTCCACTTACAACAAATGTTTTAAATGTTCTCAAGCTTTTTTTTTGCATTCACAATAATGATGACAGAGCTCCTACAGCCCATGTGGCTGCTGTTGTGACTGACATAAGGCAAATAGGCCAGCTGTCAAGCTGTAATGTACCATTATAAATTATGCAGTGCATGCTTAACTCCATCAACATCATTATTGAATTATGTTGTCCACAAATAAATTTACAATCTTACTTGTTTTTAGATTAGATATTTGACCAGTTCTGCCAAAACCAGTCTCTCTGTTTAAAAGCAGGTTTTTGATTGGATTAATAAATGATGGAAATTATCATTAGGTGCTGTTGCAATGGAATTTATACGTGGTGCAATTTGCTGTTTCACTGAGATGCATTAATGTTTCAGTCTTACACTGAAACAACATGCTACAACATCAGCTTCTCACGAATCATCTCAGACACTGCAAATGACATTTTTCTCAACTCATGGGAATATAATTTTTTTTTTATTTTTCAGTTCCCTCTTTAGTTCCTTATAGATCACACATAATATATCGCATCTGTTTGTATTTTGAGAAAGGTTTTAAATGGAATTGATTGAGCATTTTCAAAACTAAATTTTTAGGCCAAAAAGGGAGTGCCCCCACACCCTTGTTGTTGTTCCTTGAAATGAAAATGCATTTAAAGCAAATCTTATTCCAGCATCATTACCATGTTTAATACATGTTAACATACACGCTATATGTTTCATATACAATATCAGTAAAACTGTGATCCCTCTATTAAAATGTGGCCGCCTATTCTACTGAAATGTTTTCTTTTTGCCTTTGGCCATCTCAATCATGTTGCATGTCTTCAAATATTGCGTTATAAAAGCCTGTTTCCTGTGAAACTCTAAAGCTAACCAGTCAGGTTTAGCTACCTACCTACGCTGGGAACACAATGACTCACAATCCTCGCTCTTACATTCAATGTAACAAAGCCTGAGGCACCAGGAAAGACTGGATCACAACAGCTCTAATGTTTGACGATACAAAGAGCATGTGTAATGGTGGCTTGTATTTAGAATCTGCCATGTTTATGACGTCTGCCTTAAAATAAAATGGATTCTGATGTTCATTTTTTCCTCTCTTTGTACTGCAGCTCTCAGCATGGGTAGGAGGATTTAATAATACTTAACAACTCTCATAATCTCCTTTTCTTCTGTAGCCCTGTGTGACATGCACCCGATGAGAGCCCTCTTCCTGATTCCTAGGAATCCCCCTCCGAAACTTAAATCCAAAAAATGGTGAGTTATTCACCACCCTGCTTTTTAATATCTTCATATCTTAACATGTAACTGAAAGAGGCCCTCCTCACATCACGTTTAATTTGTAAAACTTTCAAAACCTATATTGAAGAATGCATAGCTATTACTGTCTGGCACTGTGCAGAAAGAATTCTTTCAGTGTCAGTGTTTTTCCCTATCAAATTACATGGAAACATTTCAGGGAAAAGTATCAGATAAAATGGCAAACAAGTACGACTGCCTCACTTTAATCAGTGAAAACTTTAGTCAGATATTTGTAAAGCTTCCTGTTCGTGGTAAATAAATTCTACAATACTTAATTTGGTTGATCCAACAAATTAATGTGATTATGCCATCGTCAGGAAATCAGGTTGGAGCAGGGGAGCATATTTACATGCACTTTGATATCAAGAGTTCTTGATGTATTTGAAACCTGGTTACTGCAGAGCCACACTAACCAAGTGCTTCAAAATAATTGATGAAAATGCAGGAAAATGTGTAATTTTGTTTTAGCAAAGGTTGTTATGCTATAAGTTACTTGGGCTGCAATTGTCCCTGGATTAGGAACAACATCGGAGTAAGGTGTCACTTGTCACTCAGATTGCAAAGTGTGTCATGTGCATTGCCCAAGTTCTGAGACAAATATGATTGTGAGCAAAGCGAGATGTTAAAGGATTTCACACTAATTCCTCATGTTCTTTTTTCCTACCCTGTTTTTTGCCCCTATTACTTTTCCTACTTCTCATTAATTCACCCTCTTGGTAGATGTGAGCTTATGGTCCTACAGTTTTTTCACAGTTTTTGTATTTTTAATATTAAAACTACTGTCAGTCAGTATTGTGTGACTCAAAATTAACTATTATGAAAATAAAAAATAAATATATAACAACATAAGCAACTTTATAAAATGTAGCAACTGATGGACACAATAACTTAAATCGATTCTGTAAGGACTTGCCGAATGTCATGATTGTTTTTTTCAGTGTGTACATGCTGGACATGTGAAAGAGTGTACAGACAGATCTTATATCACTTGAATATTTCTGAGTGTTGTTGGGTTCTGTCTGTGATTCTGGGTAATGGAACAACCCAGCTGTTCCATGCCTCCCCACCCTTCCTCTCTCCCTCACTAGTTTATCATCCTCTGACCTCCCCCTCCCTCCCAGGTCCAAGAAATTCATTGACTTTATTGAGGGCTGTCTTGTGAAGACGTATCCCAGTCGACCATCCACAGAACAGCTGCTCAAGCACTCCTTCATCAGGGACCAGCCTACTGAGCGCCAGGTCCGAATTCAGCTCAAAGACCACATTGATCGCACACGCAAGAAAAGAGGGGAGAAAGGTAGGCAACAGATGTGGAGGTCTAAAAGAGTGTGACCCAGGAGACATGGTGTTTTCCTCAAGTAGGGATCACACTGAAGTATACTGTTGATAGTATGAAAAAGTCTTATTCTTTCTCCTTATAGAAGAGACAGAGTATGAGTACAGTGGCAGTGATGAAGAGGATGAAAACCGTGGAGAGGACCGTGAGTCAAGGTAATTGGAAGTTGTCATCTATCTCTAAGAAGTGTTAATCCCTGACTTGTGTTCTTCGTGTGAGTGACATTTCCCCAAATCATATCCTCAATTTTGTTCATCAGTTCAATCCTCAATGTACCTGGTGAGTCCACCCTGAGGCGGGATTTCCAGCGTTTGCAGCAAGAGAACAAAGAGCGCTCGGAGGCTCACAAGAGGCAGCAGGCCCAACTGGCTGCTCAGCGCCGGGACCCCGAGGAACACAAAAGGCAACTGTTGCATGACAGACAGAAACGCATTGAAGAGCAGAAGGAACAGCGCCGCAGACTTGAAGAGGTAATGTGAAGCTTAGGGAGCTCGAGCCAAGAGGTGATTAGCTTAGTTTGTTTTAGCAACACAGTTGTAAGTAAGGTTCAGTGTCAGAAATTGAACCCTTGTAACATTTAAGCTAATGCAAACATTACATTTATAAGATAAAGACATCGAGTTTCAGGGACATGATGTGAACTAGAGGAGAAGGAGATCATGCCACCAACCTTCTGATAAATGGACAACCCATTCTACCCAAGATCCCCAGCCGCCCACAAAGGGAAAACTATCAGCATCTGTTAAATATTTGAGAGGTTATATAGGATTTGAATGAGACATATTATTACGTTGATATTGCTTATCAGTGTTGGACAGTATTTGTAAGGTAATTTACTGCAGTAAGGTTGTACTCCTTTAATCTACCTCCATGTCCCCCTCCTGTCTTATCTGGCTCTTTTGTTCAACAGTAAAGTGCCAACAGCGAGTGGAGATCAGAGTTGTGTCACTGCCAAGTGGGAAGTTGTCATTTCTCCACTAAGATTAAATCTTGTTATTTCAATGCTTCTTAAAAAAGCAGGTGAAGAGGTCTCCCTTTCCCAGACGAAAACCTGTCAGTGAGTTTGAATCAAAGCAGCACACTCAGAAGGATGATTAGGATGTAATAAGTGTGTGTCAGAATGACTCACAGCCTCTATTCTGCACCCTGCACTCTCCCTTCATGTCTTTGATGCAACTCTTTGCACAACAACAGCAGAGGATTTGCTTATAAGCATGCTACCTGTTATATATTCTCCTGTAGAAAACATAGCCACTACACTCATTTCTCTTCTTTTCTTGTCACCCTTCTCACCCAGCAACAGAGAAAAGAGCGAGAGATGGTGAGGCAACAAGAAAAAGGTCCCCACCGGAGACTCGACGATATGAGACGGGAGGAAGACAGAAGGTTGGCTGAGAGGGAGCAGGTAACCAACCACGGGAGAGATGGGGCTACAATCAGCCAATCAGGGTGAAGTGTGGGTGTGTCCAAGAGCAAACTGTGCAAGTTGCCCTGGTGGTGAAATTCCATGAGTAGGTTGCCATAGCAGCAAGGGTCTAAATTAGTGTATTTATTCAGAGATGAGTTTTCTGTGGGTGAGCTCTCTGCGTCTCTTATGCTCTGTTTCCAGTCTACCCTCAGTAACACAAGAGTCTGGCATCATAGCACCATCACCTCACAATGCCAAACACAGATTGTTGTACAAGGTTACTAGTTACTATCTTAATATACTGTTTAATATTTTTATAATGATTTTAATGTAGTTATTTTTCACAGTTGATTTTCAGTGCCACACATTGATGTATTTAACGCTAACTTTAATTTGAGACTTCTAAACAGGCACGGTGTTTTGTTTTTTTTCACCAAAATTCAGTGTTATAACAGTTGATGTTTATCAGTACAACAGGTTTTCTGAAATGACATTACATAACTGTGTCTGCCTCTGTCTTCCTCTTTCTCCATCTCAATGCTCATCATTCCTCCCTTCTTACCTGTCTTCAGGAGTTCATCAGACATAAATTAGAAGAAGAGCAACGACAGTTAGAAATCCTTCAGCAGCAGTTGCTTCAGGAGCAGGCACTGCTTATGGTAACTTTATCGGTTTTTATTTTGACCGCAAAGAGTTTCCATGCCCTCTTCTGGGTTAAATCCCTCATAAATAAAGATGATTTATTGTTCACCACTGAAATATATGTTAAGTGCAGTGCTTGATAAAAATATGCTGAAAAGGCACTAACCTAGATTTTCGGGGCAGTTTTGGGCGATGCTCAGTGTAAGTGTTATCTTGCTGAAGTAAAGAATTTCCACACTCCTGACATCCTTGTATCATCTCCTGTATAGGGTAGAAGTTGCTGTCATTAGGATAGATCTTTATTCCTGACTAGTTTTTCAAATATTCCTCTTAGGTTACACATAATTCCTTCTGTATATGCTTGGCATGTACTCAGAGCAGAGGGTCAGGTAAACACCACTGCCCCCATAGCAGATTTAAGGGATCAGAGCAGGGACATCATTTTGATGCAATGACAAACTGCAGGATCATATGACATACAGTACACTGGCCCAAACAAAAGCAAAACATTGCAATTGACCAGCAATGATAAAAGGAAGAGCTACAAAGCCTGAAATGACTCTTTGTCATTTCAACTATGTGCTATTGTTCTTGTCTATATTGAAAACATCATTCAAACATTCATAGTGTGGGTGAGAAAAAGTATGTGAACCTCTCAGCTAATGAACAAAAGCTAACTGGACTCAGGAATTACTTCTAAAACTCGAGTCCAATCAATGCAACAAGAATGGAGTTCTAACATAGAGCTTCAGAGGTATTTACGGTATATTTTTCAGTTCACACAAAGCATCTGCTGATGAGAATCAAGCCTTTCAAGAGAAAATGTTTAATCACGGATTGTTGATTCCCATAAATCTTACAAAGTAATCTCATAGACTTCAGACATTGATCAGTCCACAGGTAGACTATCTATAAATGGAGACAATTTATGTCTGTAGCTACATTCCCTAAAAGTGGGTTCAAAGCTAAAATGAGTCAGAAAGAAGAAAGATGAGCAGCATAGTAGCCCAGACCGACTTTTGAACGCTTAAAGGAATCATTGGAGCTCATTAACATCTGTGTTCTCAAGTGTTTACATTGTGTCCACAGCAAAAACACTATCCCAACACTGCATAAAACTACAAGGACAATGTTTTGTGGACTGATGAAACTAAGGTTGAATTCATGAAAGTGTCATCCCGGACTTGAGGTACAGTGGAGGCAGCATCATTATTTGGGCTGCTTTTCTGCCTCCGGGCCTGGACGGCTCACCATCATCACGAGGGAAATTCATTCCCTAGTTTACCAAGGTATCTAAATGGATAACGTCAGGCTGGCTGTCCGTCAGCTGAATCTCAGTTGAAGATAGGTGATGCAGTCGACCAATTACCACAAGTGCAGAAATAAATCTAATACAGAAATACTTCACACACAATGAGCCCAGAGCTTGACCCAGTAGAAATACTGTGAAATAACATCCAGACAGCAGTTCACACTAGACATCCTAAGAATGTGACTCAGTTAAAGCAGCTTTACAAGGTTGGAGGGTCCAAAGATACTACTGAACATTGTGCAGGTCTCATCTGCAGTAACTCACTAGTTTACAGTTTTTTGAGGTTCAGCTGTCAAGAGAAGTTCGATCATTTATCTATTTCAAGGGCTTGCTTACTTTTTCCACCAACGCTGTGAATGATTATTGGGTGTTTTCAGTAAAAAAGATTATCATTTTTGGGGAGTTTACAGCTCACATTGTTTCTGTCTGTATTTGTTACTTACATGAAGATCAGATTACATTTCATAACAAAATATTGCTGAAAACCAAATGGCTCAAATGCTACTTCTCACCACTGTAATAGCAGACAAAAGTAGATCAAATGGAATTAAACCACACAAGAAATCTAAAAAAACATGCATGAACAAAGAAGAACTGCCATCAAAGCTTTAAATAGCAGCGAAAAGTCAGTTAATATGAATTTTATTTAAAAAATCTTGTTTAATTGTGTAATTCTTTTTGTTAAATACTTTTTAAGATATGAGGCCACCATGAGATGAGTGATGAAGGTATAAGGAGGAACATCAGTGTTCAACAAGTTGCTCTGCAGTTAGCTGTTCACAACAGAGAATTGGGTATTATTATTCTTGCCTTGGGCTCCTCTACGTATTATTATTTTTCACAAAGGAATATTAACATTTTCATGAAATAGATACATATAATCACTGGCCTCAATGAAAATGAGAATCAAAATTATGTTGGCGCCGTGGAGGATTCATCATGAAAACAAAAGAAAATAGATTAAATTTGTCACTGTTACAAATTATTAGTTGTGTTAAAGTCACAATGGCAGCAGATGTTTCTTTGCTTGACGGTATATTCAGTGTCCCACTCAGAGATGTACTTTAGTGCCTCCATTGTGGTACTCTAAAATCCACCTCCCACTCAAGGAGGCACCTGGGTGAGACGTCCTCATTTGGAACAAACTGGATTTTCTCATTGACATACAAATCAAGTTCTATGTGGCCCACAGGGATGTGCAATTTAAGAACGAATGGAGAAAGAATACATGACAATAAAGTTTTCTATTTTGTGGGTAAGCTACTTTTTATATATTTGTTCCGAAGATTAGACTAGCGCCTGTTACTCACAATGAAATACCATCAAGTCAACTGACTCACGTTGTTTGTTTGATATACAGCAAAAAATGTGGAGCTACACACACAATCAATATCTTTTGTATGTGGGTTGGTGGTAATTTACTAGTTTAATAGAAATAGTACAGTACAAATTTAGAGAGTCTGCCCCAAATGCTTTCTGTCTCATGAGAGGAAATAAGTGGTGGTCAGTTAATATTCACATCTCTGCCTGAAGTTGAAGTGAATGAAGACTTTCTGTTTGCAGATACAGGGATTAGTTTGTTGGACCAGTCTGTTGTGTCCAGTCTGAGGTGAGCAACATCTTGACTGCAGTGTGTTTCTTTGCACAGGAGTACAAGCGTAAGCAGCTGGAGGAGCAGCGTCAGTCAGAGCGGCTCCAGAGGCAGCTGCAGCAGGAGCATGCCTACCTGGTGTCTCTGCAACAACAGCAGCAAGAAAAGAAGCCCCAGCTCTACCACTACAACAAAAACCTGGAGTCCAACAACAAACCCACTTGGGCTCGTGAGGTAGAAATGACATCTTCATTCACAGCACCACCCAACACTACAGTAAACTAAAGCAGGGGGATTGTTTCACTGTATTTCAGGTGGAGGAAAGAAGTAAACTCAACAGACAGGGCTCGCCAAAAATCTGCACCACTGTCTCTGACACTGCCATCCAGTCACGCTCTGACTCTATCAGCCAGTCAGGAGTGGCCCAGTCTGCTCAGACTCCACCGATGCAGAGGCCTGTTGAACCCCAAGGAGGACAGGGCAAGGTGGGTGTTCAAAACTGAGTTATTAAAATCTACTGAAAAAGAAAAGAAAGATACAACTGCCTCCTCCTATTTGCTCCTTAATTCTCTGCTGCTTTACCTCTCACAGTCTCTGCCACCTTATTTACGCCTTCTTTCTTCTTTTCCCTCTCCACCCATCATTTGGCTCCTCCCGGTTTAAAAAAATCAACTTGGAATACAAACACAACCTTGCACATTTCTCCACTTTGGCCTGCTTCAACTGTCTTGTGTGCTCTTTCTTCTGCTTGGCTGCCCTTCCCTCCTGGTGTGCTGCTGCTCCTGTCCTCTGCAGTTCCAGATGGCTCACTTGGTTCCTCTGAAGCCTTATGCTGCCCCTGTTCCTCGCTCCCAGTCCCTCTGTGACCAACCCACTAAGACCATGTCCGCCTTCCCCACCCAGGATCCCTCACTCACCCCCACCCCCCGCCCCATCCACTCTAGAGAGTTGGTGCGTCAAAACTCTGACCCCACCTCTGAAACCCCCGCACCACAGGCACACCAAATCAGAGAGGATCGTGGGCCCTGGATCCGCCTGCCAGATGTGGAACTCCCACCCAAGGTAAGAACTCAAGGCTGGTTTTCAGCAGAGGGTGTGCAGCCCTAAAAAAAGCCCCACCTCCACAAACTGCACCAACATTGAAAGCTGTCTTTTAAGGTAATAATCGTAGTTTGCTTGACACAGTAACCGCTGGATCTAACAGCTTTACCCTGCACTTCTTTGACCCGCATTTGTTTTGGTTTTATTTACACCCCTTACTAACATGCTCACATCAAGGGAAATATTTGATGCGTTGAGGATTAAATTCAAGTGAATACCTTCAAAGGAGCTTTATGTAATTCAAATTGTCTCACCTCTTCAGCTAATTGGTCCATCTGACATCTGACAGTCATCTAGAAAATCAAGTTTCTTTCTTCATGGTAGTTTTAGGGTTTAAAACCCCCAAAAAACGTTTCAGTTTCTAATGTTAACTGTTTACGAAGTCATGGAAAAAGTAATGTTGCTCTCTTCAGATTCCCCAAAGGACAGCGTCTATTGCCACAGCTCTCAACACTAACCTCACCTCTGGCATAAGGCATCCAGTAAGAGCCAGGTAACTGAAAACAGTTTAATTAGTGTCCACTTAATGCTGGCAGGTTTTAATGATGACTTGACATAAGTGATGTGTATATTGAATATATCCTCATGGCAGCAATCCAGATCTCAGCCGCAATGATCGCTGGGAGAGAGGAGACAGTATGAGCATCATATCCAATCTGCCCCAGACTGGCTCTCTTGAGAGGCATCGCATTCTCAGTGAGTCCCTGCCTCCCCAGTGCTATTTCTCCGCAGACTTTCTTTGCAGTAATCCTGATTTCAGAAATTTAACTACAGCATACAACACTGTGATTTTTCAGGTTCCTCCAAAATGGATTCGCCCATTCTCTCGCATGATAGCCGCCATAAGCCAGGGGAGTCCCGCACCTCCTCCCGCCCTGGGCGTCCTGCTGTAGGTGTACAAAAAGACATTATAGTGGCTGTCTGTTATTCACTACTTATAATAGGTGCATGCAATACATAATTCTGCTAATAAGCAGTTATTAAAAAAACTCTAACTCACTGTACATATGCTCTGTTCCATTTCCAACTGTGCATAATGTACACCTGTCCTACTAATTTACTTAGTGTATTACTTTCTCCTCAAGTAACCTTTCCTTTACTCAACACTTTTACTCTTTCCCTTCATGTTTGTCCTCTTTTCAAATCTCAACTTTGCCTCAAATGTACAGAGCTACAAGAGAGCTATAGGGGAGGTTAGTATCAAAGTCTTTATGTGTTGAGTTTTTATCAGCATTCATTGGCTGTGGTACATTTTCATGTTTACATTTTTTTTTTGTTATGCTTAGTATGTGGGCATCCTACACTCGGGAAAAACCTTGAAACCATGGCTCAATATCATCCCAAAATATATTCAGTCAGAATCTGGACCATAGACTGTAAATAAAGATGAACAACATGACGGCTCCCCAGAAGTGAAGCCAAATAATCTTGATCACCCCCTGGTGGCTGGCTGCAGTATAGTTCATAAACCCCAAACAAAAAAAGTCGAAGTACATGTTAAACATTTTTTTGTGACTTGTTGTCCATCTTTATATACGGCCTATAGTTTGGACTTACATTGTGACTCTTTCTGAATTATCCTCCTGATAACACCTCACCTTCAGTGTCTGGATTGTTTTCATTAAAATTAGTATTGCATATATTGCTGTTGCATTATTTGCTTCTTTCATTAGTAGCTGCACTTATTTCAGAATTTTTTTTTAATGCATTCATTAAGTAAACAGTGGTGAACTGCATATGTGTGCAGGACCATGGTCTCTTTGCCAAGGAGCGTGCTGAGGAGCAGCCAAGACCACCAGTCAAGGCCAACGACTACTCCTCGTCTTCTGAGAGCAGCGAGAGCAGTGAGGAGAGTGAGAGTGGCGAGGGAGCAGAGGAGGAAGAAAGCCCCACAGATCGGTAACAACACAAATACTGCAGAGAATAGTGTCTATTTATCAGCTTTACTCTCAAATAAAAAGTCAATACTTCCTGTGATATTGGGTAACTCTCCTTTCACCCCTTTCCATCATCAAACCGTTCCTCTTGATCTCAGTCACAGGGATGCAGACACTGATTCAGTCAACACAATGGTGGTTCATGAAGACGAAGGTGAGGTGGGAGATGGAGAGCAAGCTGGCGGCTATGGGGATCAGACCATGCTGGTGCAGAGGGTGAGTCATCTGTATATGTAATGATGCTTAACATGCATTGTGACTTGATGATAAATTCAACACATTACATATCATAGAATATTACAAAGCAACAAGACGAGGCCAGTGGGTCGTTAATGTTTTTCAGCCACCACTCTGATGAAAGGAATCAAAGACGAGGCAGACGTGCATAATTCTACTGTATATAACGCACCAGTGCCAGCATCTCATACCAAAAGCAAATACTTAATCAGCCACACCTCCCACCTCCTTTCAGACCCATTTCCCTGAACCTCTGTTCGATGCCCCAGTCAGTGCTTGTTTTTAAAAAAATCTTTTACTTACTTGCACTTACTTTTGCATCCCCGAGCATAGCACATTCTCTGCTGGCCTGCTTAGAGCCTAACTGCTATTTAGCATGGCTAACATGATTAGCATAGCGTAGCCACTCACACATAGATTGTATAAATAGTAAGGTGCAACTACTCTGTTTCTATGGTTTTAGCACAAACATATATATATATATATAAATGTATGTATAACCTTTCATTGCCTTCACATTTAGTTTTATCTGAATGTTTATAACAAGCAGTTAAATATTTTATGGTCTCATCATACAGCATCAGCCAGTTTAGAAACTAGAGAAACAAAAAGCAGTACATCTTTTGTTTTTGTTGAGTTTGACTAGATCCAAGTCTTTGGTTGTTTTTTATTTGTTTGGTTTTTTTTATGTAAAAAAAGACCCCAGAGAAGCGGAGCCATAATGGATACACTAACTTGCCTGATGTGGTGCAGCCCTCCCACTCCCCCACTGAATCAGCCACTCACTCTTCCCCTGGGAAAGACTCTGTTTATGATGTAAGTTCTACTGAACCTAAGTATATCAGTCTTAAATGCCTGCTTTATTTTTATGTTCTCAGTCGGGTTTTATTCAAGCCATGAAGTCAACTCTTTACACTTTGAATTTCTTGTTCAACTTGTTCATGGACTGTCATTAATAATGTAGCTTTTGTTTTATTGCGACATGGCCACAGAAAATAATACAGAAATGTATTTTTTTATTTGTCTGACAAACTCTCATCTCCTCAGACATGATGCTGATTTAAACGTCTCACACGATCTCTCTGCTTCTCCAGTATCAGTCCAGAGGTTTAGTTAAAGCATCTGGCAAGTCCTCCTTCACCACCTTTGTTGATCTGGGCATGTACCATTCACCAGGAGGTGCAGGGGATAACATGTCTGTCACTGGTGAGTCAGAAGCTTTTCATTTAATTTTTAATTTTATTTTATTACCAAACAATGATGGCCTTTGAAATTGTGTCTTTAAATGTTATAAAATTGTAACTTGATAATCAGCTGTAATTTCCCGCTAAGAATGAAGAATGAGAGATTTGTTTCTAGTTCATTGTACCAGTTTTTCTCAGCTTGTGTTTTCCTTCAAAAATGAATTAATTTCCTTTGCTGCCTCCATGTTTAGGCTCCAGGTTTGAGCAGCTGAAGATGGAAGTGAGAAAAGGATCCATGGTGAATGTCAATCCCACCAACACACGTCCCCCAAATGACACACCTGAGATCCGCAAGTACAAGAAGAGATTCAACTCTGAGATCCTGTGTGCTGCACTTTGGGGTGAGAGCAGACTCAATATTGGATTGTGATTGCAAAACGTAGAGTTTATATACCTTACTTTACTCACTGAACTAATTTCATTATCAGTGCAGTCTTCACTTTTTGCCTGTTTTACTTTGAGGGACTGGTTAGTGTTTTTGTAGTTTTTATGTAATAAACAAATGTGGTTTTAGATACAGTAATTAATGGGTTGTGTCACACATAGTAACATCATGTATTCATTTTTTGTGATTGTTTTCTATTATACCTCAAAACAAAATGAAATAGTATGGTGGTTTAGTTGCTGCAGATTACATGGAAATGATAATGATTTTACATTATCATAAGCATTTACTATAAATAACTAGAATGGCATTTAGTAGAGCACATACCTCTGCCAAGACCCAACAGTCCCCCAAGCTGCACTAAATTGTACACACATAGATATTAGTTCCCTCAGTAGATGTAGATGAATGAATTATTCCCTTGAAAATAAGTGAAAATGTTAAAGATGGTGATGAAAGGTTTCTGGATCTGGGTTATTTCTTGGCAGATCCTTCCACCAAACAAACAAACCATAAGAATGCAGAACAAGCGTCACAAACAGAGATACTACAAAGATACTACAAAGTTATTTTTAGCTGTGACTAGAGGAAAGCCAACAATAAATGAAATGTCTGTATTTGTGCACGTGTGTTCCCAGGTGTGAACCTATTGGTGGGCACAGAGAACGGTTTGAAGCTGCTGGACCGTAGTGGTCAGGGCAAGGTTTACCCCCTCATCAACTCCCGTAGGTTCCAACAGATGGACGTCCTGGAGGGCCTCAACCTGCTCATCACCATATCAGGTCATTACTGCGGTTTCACGCCAGTCTGCTCTCACTGCAGTCGATTGAAGCTTTCTGTGCTCTTGGCACAAGACCACTGGCTATAATTGGATGCCAAATTGTGATAATGTCGTCAGATTGATATTTTTATTTAATTTTTTCAGAATTAATTGAAAGCTGTTTTTGTTTCAGCAGTGTAGGGCAATGACATTACTGACAAAAGTGAATGGTAATCACAATATTAAGCCTAATTGATCAACAGACCAACTTATAATTAAAATTATATATTTTGATGATTATTGATGTTTTTCAGCAGATATTTACTGAAGAAATCATGCATTAGTTGTGTTCAAAAAATTTTTGCATGTTTCCGCAGCTGAAAATATACGTTTAGACATTTTTTTCAGTAACTGTAATGCAGTGTTTAAAACTATTTTTTATACGATAGTTTTATAAAATATCTTGCAGCAGTGTAAAAACATGCAAGTAATCTCTTAGTGTTATTTGTAATTGATGTCATACTTTGCATATGAAGGCAAGAAAAACAAGGTGCGTGTCTATTACCTGGCCTGGCTGAGGAATAAGATCCTCCACAATGACCCTGAGGTGGAGAAAAAGCAAGGCTGGACTACTGTGGGCGAGATGGAGGGCTGCGTGCACTACAAAGTGGGTGAGTGAAAGATGATTGGTTGTTTATCGCTGCTGTCTTTTCTGCTTCAGGCAAATTCTCACAAATGCATTTGGCACAGTGAATAATTGATCACAAGTATCTGATATCACATGGCCTTGTGGCTGTCCTTTCTAGTGAAATATGAGAGGATAAAGTTCCTGGTGATCGCTCTGAAGAATGCGGTGGAAGTGTATGCTTGGGCACCCAAACCTTATCACAAATTCATGGCCTTCAAGGTAGGTCTCCTCTTTCTTATGAACTGGATTAGTTATGCGACATCAGTCAACCAGAAGAGCAGTCAAGTTAATTATGTTCCCACACTCACTTTCTGCCCCCCTCTGACCAGTCTAACCTTTTAATCAGTCTTTCGCAGACCTCCCACACAGGCCTGTCCTTGTTGACCTAACAGTGGAGGAGGGTCAAAGGTTGAAGGTCATTTATGGCTCTTGTGCTGGTTTCCATGCCATTGACGTGGACTCTGGAAACAACTATGACATTTATATCCCTGTGCATGTAAGTTGTTGTCAGTTGTCAGCAAGCACTGTTTTTGTGGTTTTTTTGTTGCTAGATGTGAAACCAACAGGAGCTCAACTCTTCTATTTCAATCTCACACAGATTCAGAGCCACGTGACACCACACGCAATTGTGTTCCTGCCCAGCTCAGATGGCATGGAGATGCTGCTGTGCTACGAGGACGAGGGCGTCTATGTCAACACCTACGGACGCATCATCAAGGACGTGGTCCTGCAGTGGGGCGAGATGCCCACATCTGTTGGTAATGGTCAAATCCAAAAACAAACTCACATGGACGTCACATAAAAGCTGATGTATCCACTGTTTGAACTGGAATCAATTTTGCTTCATACTAATATGACACTTTTCCTCTGCAGCTCATATCTGCTCCAATCAGATCATGGGCTGGGGAGAAAAGGCCATAGAGATCCGGTCAGTGGAGACTGGACACCTGGACGGTGTGTTCATGCACAAAAGAGCTCAGAGGCTGAAGTTCCTTTGTGAGAGAAATGACAAGGTAAGAAATGAAAGCTCTTACAGCCTGCGACAGTCAGGTAAAGTCCCTAAAAGCAGCTGAATGTAAAGACCTAACTCACATACATTCTCTACGTCCCTGCTGTCCCTCAGGTCTTTTTTGCATCTGTGCGATCTGGAGGCAGCAGCCAGGTGTACTTCATGACCTTGAACAGGAACTGCATCATGAACTGGTGAAGAAAGATTCGTTCTGGTCAGTTCTTGGAACCGTTCGGGGGTTCGAAGAAGGAAGTGCATCCGAAATTCTCGCAAACGCATGCACACAATTGTGAACACGTCTCTCGCTTTCTCTCCAGCTCGCTCTCACCCATGCAGTCTCGCTTCAAAGACACACATAGACAAACACACACATACACAAACACAAATAATATCTAAATTCATTCCAGCCTACACTTAAAAATACAGTTTCTACTGAGGCCCCCTGATAACATTCTCTGCTGAATCATCATAAAAAGTCACTGATGAGCTGCAGATGTTAATACCACCTATTGATTTGCACTGTATATACTCACGTCTTGATTTACTTTATTTGGTGGACCTGTTTTCAGTGGTAACTATTTAGTTCCATATTGTGAAGTATGTTTAAAAAAAAAAACATTCCTTGATGGTTCTACAGTACATTTTGAGGAAGGCATTATTTACCAATAGTGAATGTTGAAATGAAGCTGTAAATAGATAGCACCTGACACTTAGATCTGAATCATTTGCAGGCCTCTTTTGCTCAAATAATAAAATGCTGGAGCGTCCCTCTACAGTGGCCTGTGGATCCCCCTGTTGTTTTGGGAGGTTTACAACTTCAGGAAGGCCTAAAGGAAGGATTTAGTACAAAAAAATATTACAAAGGGACATAAATGTCAGGATGAAGTAGCTCTTTCTATCATAGACGGTAACCTGAAGTCCTGTTCTCTAACTTTTTTTTGTTTTGGCCTGAATGGCAAATTATGTTGCAGCTCTTAATCATGGCTTGAATGCGTCAAAATCACATTTAATTTCTCTTTAAAAACAAATAAATAATATAATAAACAAAATCAAGGAATCATAAATGCTCTGTCGTCAGAATCTGTGCTGCAAAACCTCCCACTTTGCCTTTATTTCCTGGGTTAGGTGAAACCATTAATTATTTGACACATCTGGCTGGTATCGAAACCCTTTTCTTTTTGTAGATTTACAAAATACAAAAATTTGATATTTATATGTAGTGATTATGTATTGGTATTAGCCTACTGGTATTCTTAATTTTACTGTAATTATATTGCCATTATATTGCAATATATTCTATTCTTGTGCAGTCTTTGTTTGAGGAGGAGAGTTTGTGTTGTTCGGCGAGTATGGTTTTGAGATGTTAGCCGTGAAAAGAAGAAGGTGGAGAAACATGGAAGCAGAGTGTCACTGAGATTATAGTGATGAAGGGAGTTCATTTTCAGGGTCCTGTCACCCTCCTACCACACTGATCTACTCTACTGTATTATATTTCAGTTCTTAGACTTTGTTTCACTAGTGTGGTTTCTTTTGTGTGAGAGGTGTTTGTCCAGGGGATGGTGGTGGAACCATAGTGTGAAACAGTTCTTATTTGTCGTGGGCCAGTGGAAAGATTTAATGTAGGGTGACTCTGCACCTCAGAGGATTCAATCTCATCATGAAACTTAATATATTTCATATTTGTACATTCTGACAAAGTTCACAGCATATTCAGCAACAGAGGGTATGAACCAAGGCCAAAGGCAATAGAGTTTGAATTGGCACCTAGAGATTTGAAAAGAGACTAATCCTACAGATCACTAAACATTGTTTTCCTTTTAATATATAAATCCAAAGAGTCAGTCGGCTTTCCACGAATATTAATATTATGGTATCATGCTTTATTAGCTGCTTGGAATTTCTTATAAATCTTGACTCTGTGTTTGTTAGTAATGCAAAGAGTCCCCCTCCATTTTTAGGGGAGTTAACTGTGCTTGGTTTAGGCAGCTGCACGAGGCAGATACCATGTTCTCATACACCAGGTAGAAGTATGCGGCAGCAGTATCAGGAAGTAGCCTGATGGTTTTCTGTTGGCAGTGGGTGAGTCAACACATGAAGCAAAGCTTTTTGTTCAGGGAGTTGTGTTACCTCAGCACTTTGGTATGAACACATGAACATCTGCCTAATTTAAGGGTTATTTTTTTTCTATCTTCATTCTAGAGCACAGTTTCAGAGCAAGCCTTATTGATTCCACTTTCAGATTATGTAATGCTCAAAACCCAGCACTCACACTCAAATAGCCCCTGCTTGTGCTCGAATTGTGCGCTTGCACTCAGATATTTTGTTGCTTGGACAGATTTCCTGAACTCCAGCTTCCACTCTCCTCATTGCACACTGTGCATGTAAAACGTCTGCTCTTGAGTTTTTTTTCTGTATCAATTCCCCAACCAATAGAATTCAAGGTTTATAGTTGACAAATATTAATTGTCCCTTCCTCGTTTTGGGTGCTTTAGCTTTACTTCTTTGAGAGTCCAGTACAGGTGGTTCCTTTAACCGGGTTCATGCACTCCCATCCTCCACAACCTGATTATCACACCCGGTTCCTGTCTGTTTGCTCAACGGGAAAAACGACACCTTCAATTGTCAACACTAAACCTAACATTGTATTGGTTGGGGAATTTTGACATAGTGGTTGCACAAAAAAATCCTTGCACAGAAGAAAAATCTGTCCAAGAAACAAAATATCTGAGTTTAGTGTCACAATCTGAGCAAAAACGGGGGCCATTTGAGTGCAAGTGCAGGATTTTGAAAGCATTAAAACATCTGAACATGAAATCAATAAGTCCTGCTCTCAAACTGAAAGACCACACTCAAAGACAGAAAAAAAAAAACCTTGAGATCTGTTGATACAAAAATGTGACTTAGGTTTCATGAATCTGCCAGTATGAGAAGCTTTGGGATGTTACGAAATGAACCTTGGATAGTAATAAGATAAGAGAGTCNATATTACTGTATCAAAGTTGTTTTCCCCAACGAATTAGTTTTTATTCTTAAACATGTAATGTGCCATGACCTACATTTCAAACTTCTATGACAACTTAGACAGACCTCTGGCACTGATTCATTTTTATTGTTTAATCATTATTATTTTATTTTTCAGTCTGCCATGTTTACAGTTTAAGCAGTGCCTTGGAGTTAGGAAGGCGAGAAGTTTTAGGATGGGTTTGTGAGCCACATCCCACCCCCCTACACTTGTCTCCGACTTGGAATCACGTGAAGAAGAGGCACAGCTATTTTAGCTCCCTCATTTATGACAAACATCCTGTGCTGGTTAAGTGCACTTAGGTGAAATCCGAAAAAGATCTTTTATTGACACTAAAATGAAACGATCAGTTCAGAGAGTGACAAAGAAGTGAACATGTGTCCAGTTAATCCAGTGTAACATGCAGAGGATCTACTCACAGTGGGAGCCAGTATAGAAAAAAAGCCATACGTGTGAATCGTGTTTGTAGAAGAATTTAGTACTTGTGCACAGATGAAATGAAACTGTGTGTGATGTCTGCTCAGAAGACATAAGTTCTTGCAGCAAAGATGAGGTCAGCGCTTATTACTTTGATGATGCTAATTGTTCAATCTTGTAGTGGGGGAAGTAGCTTGATGCTAATTAGTCTATTTTATAAAATATGTAAATTAGTCTATATTGAGAAATAAAAGTGAATGTACATCTATAAGACAGATTTGTATTTATATAGAAATGTGTACCGCTCTATTAATCAAAGCACAATGTATTTAAGGTAGAGAGAGATCAATAAGAGAGATGGAGGGTTTTTTCATCACTCAGCAGTTGTGGAGCTTGTCAATCGTCTCAGTCGTTGGTCATAGTGAAGCGAGTCGTCTGCTGAGACAGCTGCGTGTTTAGGGACAAAGTTTTAGTTAGCGGGGTTATTCAGACAGATTCTGGTGATCAGAAGAGTCAGCTCTGTGTGTGGTGATTCATAGATTGGTGATGGACTTTTGGTGTCAATTGCCTGCGTGAGGTTGACAGGCTGTTATTCTGTTCAGGGGATCATCAGTGGTGACATTAGTGAGGGTGCAATGGCTTTGTTATGAGGTTATTGGCTCTTGGCTTCTGGATTTTATCCAGAAAGTAAGTGACAAATGTATCAGTCAATCACTATGACAGACAAAGACACTGGTCTTTTTTTTTTTGCTTCTTTATGAAATTTTTTGTCACCATGACATTCAGTTGAAGTGGTGCCTCTTTTTCATTTTAAAAAAATTTAAAAAACAAAATGAAAAAGATATAGCTCACTATCTTAAAGGTTCAGTGTGTAAGATTGGGGTGGAATGGATCTATTGGCAGAAATATAAAATAACCCTAGTGATGTTTTCACTACTGTGTTTCATCAAAATTATACAAATTGTTATTTTCTTTACCCTAAAATGAGACCTTTATATTCAAATACTTTATATTTACATCGAGGGGACCCTCTCTACGGAGGCCGCCATGTTTTACAGTCAGCCAAACTGAACAAACTTAAACATCCTTTGAGTTTTTATGACAACTGAAGCTGCCACAGGTTCTCTCTCATGTTTGAAGAGGAGGGTGAGGTGAGGGGTGTTCAGCTGCTTCATGAAACTTCACTAAATTCTACACACTTAACCTTTAAATGTGAATTCCATTTTTTAAAGCGTTGACTCATTTTGATCGCTTTCATTAATCACTGGTCACAGACCTCTTCCTTAACACACTTTTTCCTACAGAATACTTAATTGTATTTGTACCTTGGCTGTGGTCCTCATGCTCAGTGTGTCTAAAGTTCACAGATTTAAACTGCTGAATACTTGATAGCTCAATTAAAATTGAACAAGTTTATCCATTACATTTAAAAGAAGGAATTCATTTGAAAACGAATTCATTTGTTTAATCATCCTCAGTGTTGTTCAGGATAGAAAAACATGACAGGCCGGTAGCATAATCTATTTATCGCCAATAAAAACAATCATCTTAAATCGGTAACATATGCCTTGAAGATTTTTTGCTGAGATATTACAGTATGTGATTAATTTGACTTAAGAAGTTGCTTCTGAATATTACGCTTGTTGTTGTAATTTTCTGCAGGAGAAATGAAAAACACAGAAGACTGGATCTGATTGTCAAATTCTCTAGAAGCACCTTAAGGTGTGAAAAGTGCTTTTTTCATTTTGTGCCAAGAGCCATTAAAAGAAGACGTAAACCTCATCTCTCTTTTAGGAACGATTTGCAGCAGATTTCTTTTGACCATGTGACTCTTAACGGTCGAGATGCACAAACTTTTGTCATCCGAAAGAAAGAGGCACCACCAAGTTGGAGGTGCAGCGCTGAAGGTGTAGATGACATCTCTTTTTTATAAGCAATACAAGCATTTGA